GGAGAGGTTTCCCACCGGGACTGAATTTAAAGTTTATTCACTTTTGTGTGTTTGCTTATGTGATGAAAACTTAGAAGCACTGGAAAACGTTTTCTCACACACATTGCAGCTAAACGGTAACTGCCCTATATGAAATCCTTGATGAAACATAAGCTCTTCCTTTGAAACCTTGAAACCTTTGTCCCACTCACTGGATTGAAGGTTTTCTCTTTGTGAACTTTTTGATGTTGATTGAGTGCTGACTTCTGGGTATAAGATTTTCCACATTGATTGCAGGCAAAGGGATTCTTCCCTGTGTGAAAACTCTGATGTCCTATGAGGGATAACTTCTGAATGAAAGCTTTACCACACTCTCCACATACGTAGGGCTTTTCTCCAGTATGCGTTCGTAGATGAATTTTGAGATTTCCTTTCTGGGTGAAGCCTTTTCCACATTCACTACATACATGGGGTTTTTCACCAGTATGAGTTTGCTGATGAATTCTGAGCCTCTTAATACTAATGAAGTGTTTTCCACATTCACTACATACATGGGGTTTTTCACCAGTATGAGTTCGTTGATGAACACTGAGAGAGCTCTTGTTAATGAAGCCTTTACCACATTCAGCACATACATGGGGTTTCTCTGCAATATGACTTAGCTTATGAGTACTGAGAGCACCATTTCTGATAAAGCCTTTCCCACACTCACTGCATACATAGGGTTTCTCACCAGTATGCACTCGCTCATGTACAGTGAGACGGCTCTGCATTGTGAAACCTTTTCCACAATCAGTACATATATGAGGCTTCTCTGCAATATGAGTTAGTTTATGAGTCCTGAGAGCACTGTTTCTGGTAAAGCCTTTCCCACACTCACTACATACATAGGGTTTTTCACCAGTATGAATTCGCTCATGTACAGTGAGACGGCTCTGCACTGTGAAACCTTTGCCACAATTAGTACATATATAGGGTTTCTCTACACTATGAACTTGATGATGAGTACTGAGAGTTGTGTTTGTGGTAAAGCCTTTCCCACACTCACTGCATACATAGGGTTTCTCACCAGTATGAGCTCGCTGATGTA